CACAGGGATTATTTATCTGTCTTTAGAAAGGGGCTGATAATATCAAAAAACAGTTTTCAATTCACTGAACAACAGCCAACAACAAACCTCATAAAAATAAGTATTTACTACGCGTGTCTTGATATCAAACATCAGACACATGAATAAAAATGGTAAAACACTGCCCAAGGCCGGGTGCGGTCTTCGGAAAGAACTTGACCGACCCACGAGGAAATTTTGTGTGGCAAGAAACTGTGATGTAAAGTCCACTTAGGGCGCATGTTAGCTTCTTGCTACTGTAAACCGAATAATAAAAAGAGACTCGCGAAAAATGCAAACCCACCCCGAGTTTATTCAAACATTGCTATGGTAATACACGATTCTGCTATTATAAGCAACATAAAAGTGACTCGTGACAAACGCCAACTCGTTCCGAGTTCATTCAAAACAATACAGTAACAATAGGCCCACAGGAATCAGCTTACAAAATCGATTATAACTTGTAAGCCGGTGTGTGACTGAAGGAAACTTTAGAGTGGCATCTCTTGAGATCGGTGTCGGCTTCTTTCAGACCAATCAATAAAGTACAAATGTAATTTATCTTTAATATAAGAATGTTCATCATCATTTTTTACGGTCAGGCCCTCTAACCAGTTCCAAATCCCAGTGTTCAAGCAGCTGAACACCGTGCACAATTCAATACGAGCGGCCACTGCGTGTGTCCTTGATAAACTAACAGTCGCTCAGCTAGTCAGATTCCCCGCCTTTAGTTTAACAGGAAAAGTTAATTGCCGTGTACACCCGAGGCCCTGCGTACAATTTCATAACATGCTGGTGTCTGACGGTGAGGAGTTGTTAGCTCCCGCCCAAACCTCGAGTTGTGGGATCACCCCTTGTCAGCTGTCCACGACTACTTATTTAGTATATTCGCGGCTACCATCCATATCCGGAGACCGTCTATCCCAAACCTATGGTCGCGTCATGTCCTGGTGACAACGGACACACTTAACACGGCTAATAGTATATGTAGCAGCAAATTTCCACTGCAATTACTGGGTGCAGGCCTGTTCATAAAAAGTGAATCACGTATGTTTTGACAATGATGAAATCTATCCAAAGAAGCCTACAATTTTTCCTTACTGCAGTTGAAATATCCCTCACTCGGGGTACGCTCTTCGCTGAACAGAATTCCTCCCGTGCATTATAGTTCCTGTTGTCCCAATGTTCATAACCGCTGCCACATAAGTAACCACCTTAACCTATCCCGTGTCAGTTCAGGCTTGCACAATGTATTCTATCAAAACAAGTTCAATGTTGAGATCTGCGGTTTACTCGGCGGTGAAAATATGGACTATGCTCGGGTTTATGAAGCCGTGTAGCCTTGTAGGTGGTTACCAACCTTTCGGAACACATCGCCTACATCTCCTGAGTAGAAAAGGGGTTCTCTAAAGCTGGAGGCGATGAACGACAGTTCATAAGTTTAATGTTATCCACCCATGCCGAAGTATCCCAACCGCAATGCAAGAAGTTTCTCGTATCTATTTCTTCTACTCCATGCATGCTACATACCCAGCCCACGCCTTGACTCTAGACTTAATCGCGCCAGAACTCTAAACGATGAGCACAATTTTCTCATGGCTCTTCAAGGTCCGAATGATCTCCTAAGCACCTTGATCTCAGGTCAATCCTCAATCTCATCTCTCCCCAACCTGTGGCCCTACGAGGAGTTCGGACATTGAAGCAGCCACGTGGTAACCCCGCTCGCCCACACCGCAACAGCCCAGGCCTGCCCACGTAACTTGGGTAGCTTCGGACAATCGCCGAACACCTCCGGGCTTGTGGACTGGTGGAGTGAGTGTCTGTATGTATCTATTATGGGCCGACACGACTTTATCTCCCTGATCAGTGTTAAAACACGCACGCAGCAAAATTCGATATAATTTATTCGTTTGTTTAACGACACTGTCAGTAACTCACACTATGAGATGGGAAGAAATGTTATAATAAACAATGAATTGGGAAGGACGTGCAAGAAAATAGTCGTGGCCTAATTTAGGATACTATGACGGCATTTTCCTGGAGGGACTGAGGAAAACCACAAAAATATTGTCAGGACAACCTCTCTCAGCACGGGGATTTGAAGCCGGGGCCTTCCGAATAAGAAGCAGGCGTGCCAGAAGCATCGTCCGGGGTCCACAGTAATTACGTCAATCTGACTTGTTCTTGTCAATCACTTCAGGCTTCTTTCCGTCTATAAGAAAGTTCTATTTACCTAAAATCTTGTGTATGTAACACCGGACGAGTAGTTATTCGCGGTATCATCCACAGCACAGATCTGTGGTGTCAACGCACCAATCACAACATTTTAGGAAAGAAAACAACTGTCAGCAAGGAACTACACTTGCTTACGTCACTGAACGGAAATCACTGTCCTTTAGAGTGACATAATTCGGTTGTAATATTATCCTCTTAATGTGGACAATTTCGGAATGCACTTTTTGATCAATTAAAGACTAAACCCTCTTTTCAAACACTAAAGACATGGATTATTATCATTGTCACTTCAAATGCCCTACAGTATGACGAGGTATTCATTCAATTCGTGACCTGCCAACGTGTTATGTCCGCCCCGCGTGCGTTTTTAATTACGTATCAACCTGCGTCACAAAAAAAAAGCTGCCACCTAAATTAAATTTCTGAGCGAATACAAACAACTATTCATTACATTTGAGAACATACTGAGCAATACACGAACCTGCTTGCGATAATAACATTTTCATTAACTGCCAAGAAGTTACAAAAAAAATGTCGACATTTGTAATTCAGCGGCTCGCGATTCATTACTAATTATTAAAAACACTAGTCCTAAAAATAAACATGGTTTCTCACTCAGAGAGGGAGGAACACAGATTGCAGGTGTTTGAGAACAGGGTGTTGAGGAGGATATTTGGGCCTAAGAGGGAAGACGATGGGGCGTGGAGAAAACTGCACAATGATGAGCTTAAAAATCTGTACTGCTCCACCAGGATTGTCAGGGTGATTAAGTCGAGAAGAATGAGATGGGTTGGGCATGTAGC